GCAAGACTGCAATAGGATGTAGCAAAGACTCACAGTGAGAAAAACAAGAGCAGGAAGAGCCTGGTCAGTTAGAAACAGGAAGGAAATTGAGAACACCTTGATGCCCAGAGACTATGGTAAAGATACGGGAAGGAAAATTGCTAAAAATGAATGAATAAAAATCTATGAAAGTAAATAAGGATTGAGCTCATTATACTTTGAAATTATTATAAAGAGGCTGATGGGTGTCATACATCATACTGGAGATACCAAATCTACAGCAAAATATCTAATTCAATTATTAGATAGAGATAGATAGCTTTTGATAAGCTCCAGAGAACATAAAAGGAAAACCTGAAGTCAATCACATTAATGCATTATAACTTCAATTTATATCCTCATTTAATAGCTGCATTGTTACTTTATATTAATGAACAGTACAACAATTATAAGGTATCTCCAAGATTTATTCTCAATCTATATACTCAATTCTACTGTGCTATTAAGGTATTTATATCATCAATCAAAAATTCTGCCAACCGCATGTTGCTCTGGCATTGCAATTTGAAAAACTTAGTCAAAAATTTCAGACTCCAAAGGAGTAGATGCCTCAAACTTCATCCCAGCTTAATATGCTGACCAAATCATTTTTGTTTAGCCTCTTTATTCTTATAAACATTCCTGAGTTGGGGTAGCATTAGATCAGTCATGTCCAAGTGAATGGAGAAGTTTCCAGTACAACCAGAAAGCTTAGTGCATTTATCTACTGGATTCTGAAGAAGCTCAGCTTATCCCTGTTATTAGCCCGAGAAAATATCAAATACATCTTTTCATATTTGTGTTTAAATATAAGGTTTACCTGAGTCCATGGTTACAGTGACTATAATTTTCTTTAGGAGTGATGGACATACACAAAGTACCTGCCATAAGAAAGACAGCCTGGCATGGCTGTCCATGGCTGTAATCCCACCTACTCAGGAAGTGGAGGGAGATGTATCTCTGCCATATGACTCAAGTGGTAGAGTGCTTCCCTGGCATGTGTAAAACTCTAGGTTCAATGCCCAATACTCCCTACCCTACAAGCAAACAAACAAAATTTGAAAAAATAAAAGAAGAAAATTGTGGCCTGTGCCAAGGAGCTCTGGAGTTCCCTCCTAATCCTTCCTGTAATGTTTTCAGGGGGTCTGTTTTTACTTCAAGGCCTTTGATCCGTTTGTAGTTGATCTTGGTGCAGGGTGATATACAAGGATCTAACTTTAGTTTTCTACAGGTGTTTAACCAATTTTGCCAGCACCATTTACTTAAGAGGCTGTCTTTCTTCCATCCTATTTTTTTTGGCTCCCTTATTGAAGATTAGGTGGCTATAGGTGTGCAGGTTCATTTCCAGGTCTTCAGTTCTATTCCATTGGTGGGCAGGTCTGTTCTTGTTCCAATACAATGGAATTCTATACTTCCATCAGAAAGAAAGACACACCGATTTGTAAGGAAATGGAAGGAATTGGAAAAAATCATATTAAGTGAAGTAAACCAGACTCAAAGAAACATAGATCCCATGGTTTCCCTTCTTTGTAATAATTAATATCTGTCTAGAATAGTCTTAGGAGAAGAGCAAAATAATTCAATAGCTACCTACATATGACCATATAAGATGGTGCAAAGCAAAATGAACTCCAAGACATAAACACAAGAGGTTTTTCTTTGTTGTTGTTGTTTTTAATGTACTATGTGATTTTTTTTGTTTCTTTTGTATGTTCTTCCCCCTAAGGTATATCTTCTGTTGTCACTGTATTTGATTTTGGTACCCTAGTATTGTATATACATCTATTTGAATTAGGGAAGAGAAGGGGAACAACAGAATGGTGAGACAAAGGACAAGGGGGGGAACCAATGCAACAGCGATATACACAAGATAATACATTGGAAATGATCTGTACAATTTGGGTGGGGGTTAGGGGAAGGGAGAGTAGGAGAAAATTGAGAGAAGCTGTAATAAGGTTGACAAGAAATGTACACATTACCTTACTTATGTAACTGAAACCCCTCTGTACATCACCTTGACAATTAAAAAATTATCCCTAAATGCCTTTATTTTTAAGGATAACACTTATCTTCAAGACTAGAGTGAAAAACTATAAATTTCTGCAAAAGTTAAAAAAAAGGAAAAGGAAAAAGAAAGGCAAGCCTGGTATAATTGTGTATACCTATAATAGGAGTAAGAAAACAGAATAGATTTGGACATTTACCCAAATAATCAATCACAAACAAGGCCATACCAAACCTGTCAGGACAACCATGTTTATAGCAGCATTATTTACCATAGCGAAGATATGAAACCAACCCAGATGCCCCTCAGTAGATGGATGGATCAAGAAAATGTGGCATATATACACAATGAAATTCTATGCCTCCATCAGAAAGAATGATATCACCACATTTGTTAGGAAATGGAAAGACTTGGAAAAAGGTATATTAAGTGAAGTAAGCCAGGCCCACAGAAACATAGGTCCCATGGTTTCCCTTGTTTGCAATGACTAGTACATGTCTAGGACAAGCAGAGAAGGTCAAAGGCCATGTACATATGACCACATGAGATAATGTTAAGCAAAATGTACCCCAAGACAGGGGTACATTTTTTCTTGCTTGCTATTGTTTCTAATGTACTTATAATGCACTATGTGATTGTTTTGTTTCTTTTGCATGTTCCTCCCCCCACGGTATAACCCCTGTTTTCACTGGATTTGATGTTGCTGTTCTGCATCTTGTGTATACATTTTTATATCAAAAAATTAAAATTTTAATGTAGCATCTGTACACAGGGAAGTAAAACCATATCTAAATAATGGACCACTCAAACCATTTCCTTCTGCCCTTGGCTTTTCCTTCTTCTTGTCATTTTCTCACCCTATTCTCCAATATTCTGTTTTCAGATACTTTTTAGCTTGTAATTTGCGGAGGGGAAGGGATACAGCAGAATGCTGTAAGTAGGGATGCAGGTTGATCCATTGTGACTACTAGGTGTACAGGCCACTATGCTGAAAACGACTTTACAATGTCTGGGTGTGGGGGATATGAGTAGTTGGGGTGGTGGGGAGGGAAGTGATGGTAGGGGAAAACAAAGGAGGAGGCAACAATGCTCCTTATGAAATGTACGCATTACCCTACTCATGTAACTGTAACCCCTCTGTACAATATTTTTACAATAAAAATACATGAATGAATTTTAATTATGAAAATTGTATCACCATAAAACTATTATTTAAAATTGGAAGTAATAAAAAATACTCATAGGGAAAAAGAAAGAAAACAGAAGTGTGGAGTTATAGGAGGAGGAAGAGGATATGGATACAGCTGACTACAGAATGAAAAGAATTTAACAATGTGCGTGGTCTAAAGTAGATGGTGGATGTGCAGGCACATGAAAGTGAGTTAAGGTAATTTGTACTAATTAGTATATATCTAGGATAATCTTAGCAGATGAGCAGAATAGCTCAATAGCTATGTACATATGACTGTATAAAATGATATCCATGACATGATCATGAGAGGTTTTACTTTGTTGTAGTTTTTAATGTAGTATGTGACTTCTTGTTTCTTTTGTGCTTTCCCCCCCCCCTATGATATACCCCCTGTTGTCACTGTATTTGATTTTGGTACCATGGGTATTGAATATACATTTATCTGAACTAAGGACAAGGGCAAAGTTATGCAACAGTGACAATATTTTGGACAAGACAATATTTTGGAAATGATCTGTACAACTTGGGGGAAGGGGATTGGGGTGGAGGGAGAGAGGGAGAAAAATGAGAGCATGGATAATAAGTTAGATAAGAAATGTCCTCACTTCCTGACTTATGTAACTGTAACCCCTCTGTACACCACCTTGACAATAAATTTTTCTAAAAAAGAAAGCGAGTTAAGGTAAAATAAGAAAGCACATGTGTATTAGAGGGAAGTATCTTATTGTACCTGCCAGCTACTTTCCCTTTCTTCTCTCTGAGATCAACACAGCTATTGTAGCTTGCTTACCTACTGCTTCTTTTGGTCCTGGTTCAGGAGGAAACATGGCAAGATCATTGTACAGGAGGAGTCCCACTAAGGCCGCCCATTCATATGCAGCTTTGCCTCCAACTCCCATCACTAATTCCACAGAGGCTTTGGCCCTTCTGATCTCAACTCTCCCATAAACCATGCTGGAATACAGCAGACACTCTCCAATCCCCACGGCAGCCCCCTTCATTGCCTCCTGGAGTCAGAGCACAAGTGTTTTTGCCACCGTTTTCTCTAGGGTTCATGTATTCATTTCTAATCAAACCTATTTATTTTTAGTTTTTCTGTTTCTAATAATGATTTCTTTATTCCCTCTGTCACACAATTATAAACAAACATGTTGAGCCATATTTTCTTTTCATCTCACACACCAAGTTATCCATTAAATCCACTCATGTTTGCTTTTTGATTCCTTCAGCACCTGGATGTAGGAATTATGATACCCACTGTGTTCCCACAAAAGCCTCCTGCCTTTCATAGCAATCTAGCCCTCACTGAATGTCGTTAATACAAGCACAGTCATCACAGCATTGAGATGTAAAACGTTTGCATGGTGATACAAAATGTTAGAGTCTGTATGTTTCTCTCATACAATGATATTGTTGGATTTCAGACACTTTCACATTCGGTCCATTTCCATTTACCCTCTCTCTCTTCCTGCCCTAGCAGCCTGCTCAGCACTGCAAGCACAGCTACATGGGGCCCATATCATACATCCTAATGTATTTTCATAATTTTTTTAGTATTTTTACTTTTGTCTGTATAACTAACAGAGTAAGGCTATGAATTTTGGATTTTATGTTTTGTTTTACTCTTATTTCTACTATGCCAGGAGATAAGGAACACAACATGGGTGTTTGTATGTAGTTATTAAATAAGCAGTTAGAGAGTTTCAAGAGTAAATGGCTAGAATAAGTTTTTTGGATAGATCACAGCTGCTGGAGAAAACAGAGCTAAGCGGAATGCCTACTTACCAGAGAAAACGCTAGGAATCTTAGACAGAAAGCTTTTGACAGTGCGGATAGGAATTCCATTTTTTTCATCTTGCATGCGTGCGATGACATCTTCCATCTAAACAACAGAAACAAAATCAATAAACACTTTAGAGCTTTTGCAAAAAGACAGTTTTCACAATTTCAAATACTCATCTTTCCAAACTAAGAAGAGTCACACACTCTTACCTGTCTTTATTCTTGTCTACTAATATTTTAAAGTCTGATTATCAGGAGTTGGAAAAAATAGAAAGGAAAAAAAATATGACTGTTTTAGGGTGACTTAAGCTATAGTAAAAATTCTGATTTCTTTAGACAGTTCTTGGATTTAAATTCAGTGCCTAGAGCTTGTTTAGTTGGAAGCAGGCTTCTGCCCTTTGTGCCATGCCAATAACATCACTTTTTGCTAGTTATTTTGGAGACAGAATCTTACAGACTTTTCTGCCTAGGCTGGCTTCAAACCTTTATCCTGAGTCTCCTGAGGAACATTGTCTCCCTCTGGGGTTCATATTCTATGGCCATAAAAGGTGAGATAAAACTATTTATTTTTGAAGTTGTCACAAACCAGTTGTATGAAATTCATGGGACTCAAGTTATCTCTACTCAACTCAGAAGCAAAGAAAACAGAGGGCTTAAAAGAACATGGATTACTCTTTAAGAAGAAGGTTCCAATAATTTGGTTTAATATTTGAGTTCTACAAGTTGCGTGAAAAAATCAAGACAGATCGCCAGCAACTACCTGTTCTATTTCCCAGTGTGAAATGAAAACAAACACACAAACACACATATGCATATACACAGATGTCCATAGACGCATAAATATATGCACACATGCACACACACACACACACAATGAACTTCATACCGTAAATTTCTGCCTTATCAGCAGATTCCCCTCCTGTCTTTCAACCTTGTTAGTATCCTTTTTAAAAAAATTATATTTATGATTTTATTTGACTTATTTTTATTATCTTTAAGTGGTTGTACAAAGGTGTAAACAATCAAACAAATCAATTTATAAATACAATGAATCTTGACTGACATCAACCTTTTCATCATTCTCTTCCATTCCTTCCCTTAATTTTTCTATTTTCATAGAAAATGCATTAAATAAATATGATGACTGCATTTTGGTATATTCTTTCGTTTTGTTTTGTTGTTTTTTTTTTCTGTGTGTGAAAATACCGTACAGAGGGGTTACAATTACATGGGCAAGGTAATGAGTACATTTCTTATCAAGCATTGTAGCCTCCTCCTTTGTTTCCCCTT